CTGGTTCAAAGCGAACCGTACCCTCAGGTGCTCCGGGCATGAACAAGTGTAGAAGCACCCCTCAATATCCGCGATCCACCTCATCGCAGCAATCGGATCCTGCATCCCATCGAACTCAGGAGGTTTCGTGTTGCTGAATTCCCTGAATAGCAACGAGTCACCCCCTTGTGGCCTGGTAGCGGCCACAGCTGCAGTAGCGGCAGCGGCTGCAGCTTCAGTCAGTGCGGCATACCGCTCCTCAAACGTCTCCATCAGGGTGGTCTTAATAGACCCAAACATCTCCGGGATCTCAGCCCGGATCGCTACAGCTACCTCCTCCTGAATCATTTGACGAATCTCCTCGTCACTTACACCGCTCGAACTCGTCCCGTGGCGTGTTGTAACCATAATGTCTCTGAAATATAACATAAAATTATCAGAGACTCCATCAAGTACAATTGCACTCGATAACGCAACCCTACTCAGTCTCCGATATCCAGGGATTCTTATTTGGCTCTCCCACCGACCCGGTGTCTTCGGTAGTACGGGCCCAATACTACCGACCACACCGTATCAGCATTCGTCCCAAATCTTCCTCCCCAAACCCCGAATAGTGAGTACGCTATCCAATATCTCATATCGACAAACTCCTAGACTAAGGCATCACAAATCAGGCCACTCTAGTCCTATCATGAATACCTAGTCTTCTAGCATGCATAACAATTCATAATTCATTTCGCAACATAACATTGTAAGGTATTCTGGGGATCTTTACCGTTCGGGCGCTGACTGATCGTACACACTGCTTCTTTCTTGTTTACCTCACTATCATTTATAAAAGTTTATGCCTTTATTTTTTTTTGTAAAAAAAAAAACTTTCTCAAATCCTCGGTTTGAGTTCAGTTACACCCGAAGGTACACCCGAATCCCTCAAACCAAGGCTTTGATACCAATTGTAACAACGCAAATTTTCAAACAAATTTTTTTCATTTCAAATAAAGTGTTTTTATTCAAACTAAATATAATTATTCCAAGTTTTATGTCGAAATACATATCATAAAATTCCCAAGATCTCAAAACATCATTCAGTGTGTACACATCACGTCGGCGCCTTCCCACGGTCCTCGCTAGTACCTGTAACACATACATAACAACTGTAAGCATAAATGCTTAGTGAGTTCCCCAATATACAACTTACACATATACGCCTTTCCAGGCCCTGACCTTCCGGTCCACAATACAACGCCTTCCGGCCCATAACATAATCGCCTTCCGGCCCATAACATATTGCCTTCCGGCCCATACACATTGCCTTCCGGCCCATATAAACATACACAGCACGCATAACAATTAACTTACCACATATAGCACATATATCACATATCATATCCGAACTTCCGGTCACACAGTCAAACCCTTCCGGGTACAGTATAGTGAGAAGACTCACCTCGTGGATACTGAAAGCTAGCAACTCCTGAAATCACTCGTACTCGATCCGCCGAGCTACAGACTCCCTATAATATCGTACATCCCCTTATTAACACTTTTATCTTTCAATACAACTACCCCTAAGAAATCGCATATAGGTCAACGGTCAACGGTCAACGGTCAACTTGACCGGACTCGGCGAGTGCCATGGCGACTCGGCGAGTCTAGACGTCCTCACAAATTCTCTGATGTTCCCTTTCTACTCGTCGAGTATCCCTCTTGACTCGACGAGTTCCTCGTGGAAGAATCGCGGGGCCACCCCGACTCCACTCGCCGAGTCTGAAGAACAGCTCGACGAGTCCCAGTTATTCTCCAAGCTACTCGCCGAGTCTGTTCATTGGACTCGGCGAGTCCATGCCATGCAGTCGACCAAACTGCTTCCTAAGGTCAGAATTGTTCCGACCATTCATGGGTCTGGTCCTCCTAAACTGGTCCATCACATAATGTCTTCATTTAGGTGCTCATGCTACACCCCAAGACTTATAATTTAATATTTTGACCTAAGGCATAAGGATTCCAATCCAAAACCTCTATTGATTCCCGAAATGCTCAGGCATGGGACATTCTGGACCTCTAAAGGTCCCAATACAGGGTTCCAATCGTTTGGGGACTAAGGTAACATTCAATCTAGCCACAAAAAGGGTTCCATAAACCCTAAATCCATATACACATCAACATGGACGAATGTAATTCGATTTATTACCTGAATAACGTGTTCTCTCTGTGTCCCCAATCCTCAGAACGTGACTTCTCTTGTTGTTCCCTTCACCAAGCCTTCTCTTCCTTGCACAACAACTCTTCCAAACTCAACAATGGTCTTCAACCTTGCTCCAGATGCACACAATCGAATTAGGGTTCTTCTCAGAAGGCTAAAATGAACAATGACGGCCTATAAGTCCCTTTTATACGTCCCAAAACTGAACGGCTAGGGTTTTCGCTGAACAGCGCAGACTCCCCGAGTCCATATCTGGACTCGTCGAGTCCAGTCGCGAACCCGCGACCAACTCTGCAGTCCTACTCGGCGAGTCTGGCTCCAACTCACCGAGTCCCCTCTTAAAACACCCCAAAAACATAATTATAACAATATCTGAAATTCCGGGCTGTTACAAATGTATGTAAAGGTTTGCAATTGTTTGTAAAAGTTTAAATCTCTTAGAAAAACCTATATTTTCTATTAAAGTAGCCTTCTACCAAGGCTTAAATGTTTTGTATGCTCGTTTGATGTAAAAGTGTGTAATTTCCCAAATGTAACTATCATTTAACAAAATATAGTTTGTACATAAACGTTTAAGTGAGGTTATCACTGAAAATATGTAATGGGTAAATCATTGTAGTACTGTAGCCTAGTATTATAAGAGCTACTATTGTACTAACCACCTTAAACCGGATTTATATTAAGGCATTACGTGATAAATTGCACCATACTATCGACAAGTAACAACGACATAATGAATGGTCGTAATAACGGAATGACGTTTGGCAACCGCAGACCTGCAGGTTCGGCTATAGCTAGCAGCAAGGTGTAGGATTGTCAATCCAGTATAGATCTATATGCAAACTCACGCTCTCCCTTCAAGAGAATTCTGGCTACAACTCGAGCCATGACAGTTAAGTCATGCTCCGATTTAAATCACAATAATAAAGTATTCATGTATATGTACTGTTTCTCGTTCTAGTATAGGTGTATATGTATTGTTTCTAGCATCATTGTATATGTATTGTTTCTAGCATCATTGTATATGTATTGTTTCTAGTATATGTATATGTATTGTTTCTAGCATCATTGTATATGTATTGTTTCTAGTATATGTATATGTATTGTTTCTAGCATCATTTTATATGTATTGTTTCTAGTATATGTATATGTATTGTTTCTAGCATCATTGTATATGTATTGTTTCTAGTATATGCATATGTATTGTGTTACCCCGATCGTAACTAACTATTGATGTACTGATAAATATGAATATGGAAGTACTTTTATGTCTATACATGTATATATGATATATAACTAATATTGAAACGACCTTCGGATGGTCACCCGAAATCCCACCAGACCACATCTCAGTGCGCGAAAAGGAAATAGGGCAGATGGCCTTCCTAAGCCCTTTAAACATTACTTATATATATATATATATATATATATATATATATATACATATATGGGCATGCAATTTATAAAAAATAAAACAAAGTTTAATAAAATCATTTGATAAGTAAAAAGAGTTTGTAAAACATTTGAAGTGAAACAGTTTGATAAACAGTTGAACAGTGATAAAATCATTGGTTTTCTAGTTATTAATCACATGTGATTAATGCAATCACATGTGATTGATGTAATAACTATAAGTATTTGACTTGTATCCCCCCCCCCCAATAAAGTATTTAAAACATTTAAAAGTATTTCAAAGGTTTATTAAAGGGGTATAAACTCACTTGTGGTGAGTAGATTGAATTGATGTATCGGGTACCGTGCTAAGTGTCAAACGGAGACTTGTTCACACGTTCGAGCCTAGTTATCATATAATAAGCATATATATAACTAATTAGCCACATAATAACTTAAAAAGGTAAGTTAAAACAATTAGGAACATGTATACACTTTGTATAAGTGTTATAGGTCCTAATGGTTGCATCTAAGTTGATACGGGACAAGGCAAAAGGGTTTGAAACATCAAATGGCCTTACATAAGAGTTCACCACCCAACAAACCCCACCCTTTGGAGTTTACGGCCATAAACTCATGGGTTTATGGCCGTGAACTCCTCACATGGTGGTTTTGGGTGTTTTAAAGTGTTATCTTGATCCAAGAACACTTCTAGCTTTGTTGGAATAATACATGAAGTAGTTTAAGTCCCTAGAATGCTCCATAGGGGAGTTTACGGCCTATAGTCCATATACCCTAGAGTTTACGGCCTTAAACTCCTATGGGTGATGGCTTTTAATTCATTTGAGGCCCTTGCATGTGTAGGATAGCTTCCATACTTTTATCTAAGGCTAATGGGGACAAGATACACACATTTAGGTCATCACTTGGAGTTTACGGCCCAAGATATGTTCCTTGGCCGTAAACTCCTTTTAAGGAGTGATTATGAAGTCCTTTGATCCCCATTCAAGTCCCATGTGTTCAAGGTAAATTGTCTTAAGGCCTTAGGGGTGTTTGTGGTGCATTTCACCCTTAGAAAAGGGGTTTACGGCCCAAGATCCTTCCTTGGCCGTAAACTCCTATAATTCTATCATTTTGAAGTGTTTTGAAGTCCAAAATAAGCACAAGTATTAGTGGTTAAAGTCCTTAGGCTCAAGGAGGCAAGTTAGGGCATTTATGTCCCTTAAAAAGGGGTTTACGAACCAAGAAGTTCCTTGGCCGTAAACTCCTCTAACTTGTTGATTTTGGATGCTTTCTAGTCTCTAAAGATCATACACAAGGTCCTTTACACGTTGTCTATCGAGGGAATGGGACTAGGAAGCCTTAAAGTTCCATTTTGGAGTTTACTCCCACTACTAGAAAAAAGGCCTTTTACGACGCGCAAACAATGACACTCCCTGTTAGACGACGCGCATTTGTAAGTGCCCTAAAAGATAATGTCAATTTTGCAAAATTTGAAGGATAGAGGGCGCGCATTTGTGCGCGCCCTAAAATTAGTGTCAGAAAAGAAAAAAAAAAGAAATGCGGAGGGCGCCTTTCATAAAATGTGCGTCATGTAATTGTGTCGCTTTATAATTTTTAAGTGAAATACGCGTTTTAGGCAGGAAATGAAATCGACGAAAATTATCCCCACCTATTGAATCCCAAAAATTAATCCCCCCGCCTCTTCTACTTAGCAAGAAAAAGCCCTAGGTCCCTCATCTTCATTTTCAGTATCATCAATCTCTACTCGATCTCCTTCTTATCAGTATCATCAAACATCCCGTTCATCCTCTGCATTATTTCCATCATTCTTCCCTCTGCTCACTGATCAATACCCAAAAAACCCTAATATCATAACCACTCCTCTTTTCTCGCACAACAAAATCCCAAAACATCACCAAATACTAAATTCCACAAAATCATTGTGACCATTTTAACTAGGCCTTTTTTCATGAACGAAGACACTCTCGCATCTCTTCAAGGGTTATTTGATAGCTCTTGTATGGTTTATTCCCTATACTGAATCGAGAGTCAAGGTTGTTGGTATGAATTCTCAATTCCCCTTCAATCCTTCATCACACATTTAACCCTAGATCTTCGGATTCTATAAATATTAGGGTTCAATTGATCGAGAAGCATCATTTAACTCTTCATTTTTACTGATTTTGGGTTGATTTACGTTTGGAATTTTGTTAATTTTGGAATTAGGTGCAACTTTCCTATTGCCGAGACTTCTGCGTCCCTCCCTTCAGCGTCGTCGCCACCCTCAAATTTGCACCACCTCCGACGTCGGCTTCCCCTCTACCTCCGATAACTTCTCCATTCACGCTTCCGAGTCCTCCAGCTTCTGCAGGTAAGGTTTCCATTTCCTTTTCATCTAAAAATCGTGTTCTAGATGCGTAAATGTAGTTCTTCTAGAACTGTTTGAGGCTGAAATCGAGTTCCAGATGTGTATATTTAGTTTTTTTACGTCTTTTCTTTTTCCTCTGAAAATCGAGTCCCTGGTCTATGGTAATTCATTGGTCTAAGTAAAATATTTCTTTAAGTTTGACTAAATAACATTCAAAATCCATATCAGATCACAATGTTATTTATTCCATTCATCATGCTTTTGTTTATTTTCTTTGAAGTCAAGATTCAAGATCTGGGGGTTATCAACCATCAGTGTTAGCTCTAGCTACAATGCTTCATATCATAGATAAAGTTGACTCTTTAAACTATGTGTGACTATTCGGATTAGCTTCTTGATGTACTCAAAACCACCGGTTATTAGGAAAGTTAGAAACAAGGCTTTCTTTAAGGGCAAAAAGGGAATTTGTGATGTTGTGTTTGATCACGTAAGGATGTAGTAGCTTTTAATTAGATTAGTAGTAGGTGTAGTAAATATAAAATTGAGTGAAATGCTTGGTTAATTAGCTCTTATGTGTAGAGCTCTAACTCCTTTGTACGTAGTTTTGTGCCCAGCCAACTTCTGTGAGGAGCTTCAATGCTGTAAAGATTACTGAATTCCTCATTTGGTTGTAATGGATTCTGCGCATCTATTTTGGGTTTTTAATTTTTATTTAATCGATCCTTGATTTTAGTCTAAACCATGTTTGAGTTTTGTTACCTAAGATTTGGTAGATCTCAGTATCAATTTTGATGATCGAGAAATTGATTAATCTTTGTTTTTGTTGCAGGTGCAACTTGGTACAGATTCCTTCACTTTCGATCATGTCTATGGAAGCTCTGGTTCCCCATCATCCTCCATGTTTGAAGATTGTGTTTCTCCTCTTGTTAAGGGTCTACAAAAGCAAGGCAGACAATGTCACCTGGTCATCTGGGTTCAACCTCACATGCAAGTCAAGGTCAAGGTCAAGGTCAAGGTCAGCAATTCCCCATTCATGGGAGGGAGAACATGAACCAGTTGCCACCTAGGCAACCCACCAATAATGGTATTGGTAATGGAGTGTCTTCTATGCCTCCCCCATAGTCACCTGCTAACATGAGCCTGGGTCCAGATCATCTGTTGCAGTTACAGCATGTTACGCAGCAGATGAATAGGTCTTCTCCACAGCCTCCTGCAGCTTCATCTAATGGTGTTGGATTGGAAAACCCTTTAACAACTCAGAAACAACAAACACCACAAGGCCAACCACACCCAGGTTTTACAAAGCAGCAACTACATGTTCTCAAAGCCCAGATTCTGGCTTTCAGGCGTATAAAGGTTTGTAGAACTTGTTTTTTTTTTTTTTAAATATATTTTTCATTTATCAATCTAAGTTGCTAATCTTATTGTAATTAAATATATTATCATCTGTATTGTTATTTATAGAAAGTAAACACTGATTTAGAAATGTTCTTAAATAAAATCATCTGTTATTTACCCTCCTTTCTATACAGAAGGGTAAAATGTTCATTTACTCATTTTCCGACGGTTCATTCAGTACAACACTTTATTCAGATATAATCATTTCTGCACTAGGCTACTTGATGCTGGGAACTTTTATTTATGTGCTTATCGTTGATGGATCTACATTCAATGCCAATGTATTATCAAGGTACCATTTAAAATTTCCCTTTTATTTAATTTATGTAAAAAAGTGTAATAGTAAATGCTCATACATAGTTGTAAATGCTCACAGGTGCATGATAGCAACAACAACCGATTTCTATTTTTGTATTGTCATTGTAGCAGTAAGTCTTTGTTTATTATATACTTTCCAACTATAGTGAAAAGGAGATTTTTCGACTTTTGTTATAACAATAATTTTTGATTGCTTCTTTTGATCAGGTGTGGATTGCATATAAGGAATGAAGGTGGATAAGTGCTTTCTTTTGGATACTTTCACTTCTATCTTTTTGGAGGGTAAGCATATATAGAAACTAGCTCACTTTCCTTTTTTCACTCTCTTAAGTATATAACTATATATGGGATGCTGTTTGGATTTACAATTGAAGGAATCATGGTATATTTCCAGGACCCAGAAATCATTTACATTGTCTTATTTTCTAAAAATATTAATTGTTTATGTTGCTTCCAAATACAAGGTATGAAAAGCTGCAACGGTGGGATGATGCCCTTAAAGCATACACTGCAAAAATCTGCTCAAGCAACAAGTCAACGTCTTATCTTGGATGCTACACTAGGTATTATTCAAATATACCATGCCATGGTGTTATAGTATTTATATTATTATCATTTCAAGGTAATTAATTAAAATATTTGTTCATTCTTATGACGAATGAGGAGTCAGTGACAGATGGGTATATATTATATAATCAAAACACTATAATTATAAATATTTATTTTTTTTACTATAAATAAATTATTTGAGTTAAAATGGCATGAATGATTTCAGGTAAATGGGGATGGTAATTCTGAAAATGGCTCCCATATATGTGAACAATATCCATTTTCAGTAAATGAGAAGGTTGTTATTTTTATTTATTTCACTTTTGTTTTCTATGTGAAGATATACTGACAAAAAATACATTACATGACATGATATGTTGGTTGAGTAGCTTTACATGTTCTAATGGGTGGTGTTAGATGGAATTGTGATGATATACTCTCTAGTTTATATGATCAAAGATTGTCATTGTGATTATCATTGTTGATAGCTTTACAGATAATATTTACCATTTGTATGCGGGTATTCTTGTCATTGTGTTTGTCATTGTTGATATTAGGTAATTCATATTGTAGTGTATTTATTCCAAATCCCAAATTCTTTGGATGGAGAAAAGGGTAATTTCGTCTTTTACAACTAACATTCCAAGTTTGATTCTTCTAATAATTATATTAACATATTAATTTTTTGACTTTTATTTGATCAGGTCACAAGAATTATCTGAGCAGGGGTTCAATATTAGTCTTAAAGAAGTATGAAAGGCAAGATTCAACTCTACTTAGTTGGAATTTGATGTTTATCATCTTTGTGTATATCTTTTTAGTTTGTATAGCATTACATTGCATAAGGTGTCCCTTAATAACAATTTAGTATTATGTTATATAGTTAGGGAAAACCTCTTAATAACAATGTACAATTAGATCCCCTTAATATAAATGTATTACAATTTTTTGACATGACGTTTTTGGTATATATTTGTTTACATATGGAACGATTATTTGTATGACATTAAATTTATGCAATGGATTCTATTTTTGTATATGATATTTTATTATCTATTATTAAACATTAAATACAAATTTAATTTGTAAATAAGCAAATCTATAAATAATATTTTTTTAAACATTTAAAATTATGATACGCAAAAATGTGTGTCATCTTCATTTATGACATGGCCTTTCTTGACAGGGGCTTCCTTGATACGCATTGCGTGTCATAAACACGCGCGTCGTAAGGTTACGACACGCAAATGTGTGTCGTCTTCCTTTATGACAAGGCCTTCCTTGATACGCATTGCGTGTCATAACCGCGCGTCGTAAATGCGCGTCATAAATGCGCGTCGTAAATGCGCGTCATCTATAGACGACGCGCAAAAGCGCGTCGTCTCTCTTTATGACAGGGCCTTCCTTGACACGCATTTGCGTGTCGTCTGAGCGTTTTATAACGCGCAATGAGCGTCGTAAAAGGCCTTTTTTCTAGTAGTGTCCCCAAGAACGTTCTTGGGCGGTAAACTCACGGATCTTGTATTTTGTACATGTAATTGATGTTATAAAGCATATAACAAGTATTAAAACACGTTTAGGAAAGTAGACTCACAATCCGGGATGAAAACCCGAAGATCCGTCAGAGAGAATTGGCTTTTCTCTAGTTGGAATTGTGAATAATGAATTAATTAAATTCAGAAATCTATTTATAGTCCTGGAATATTTTGACAGAAAATATTTTTATTCCGGAAGTCGGACTATAACATTGTGAAACTTAAAATGTTCAAGTTTCACAATTACAGGAGCATCCACTCTCCTGATACGTCCAGAAACGTAAACCCTAATGTACACAAACTTGTTCGGACAAGTCTGAAATTTACAGAAACTGGACTACCTTCTATTTAATAGATAATGTTCGTACAATGGAAATTTCAGATTGTCACATCATCCCCCCGTTAGAAGGAATTTCGTCCCGAAATTAGAATTTAAGCAAATAAGAAGTTACAAATAACTAAGCGAAAAGATGAGGATATTTCAGTTTCATCTGATCCTCGCGTTCCCAAGTGAATTCTGGTCCTCGCTTGGCGTTCCAGCGAACCTTCACGATAGGGATACGGCTTTGCTTCGTCTGCTTGACCTCACGGTCCATGATCTCTACAGGTTCTTCCACGAAGTTGAGGCTCTCGTTGATCTCGATCTCGTTGAGTGGGATTACGAGAGTCTCGTCGGACAGACACTTTTTCAAGTTAGATACGTGGAATGTAGAATGTACGTTACGAAGTGTGTCGGGTAGATCAAGTTTGTAAGCTACGGGGCCGACTCTTGCGAGAATCTCGAAAGGCCCTATGTACCTAGGATTAAGCTTCCCACGCTTACCGAAGCGTATCAAGCCCTTCCAGGGTGAGACTTTGAGAAGGACTCGGTCTCCCACCTGAAATTCCAAAGGTTTTTTGCGTTTATCAGCGTAGCTCTTTTGTCGGTCTCTAGAGGCTTTCAATCGTTCACGATCTGAACGATCTTCTCTGTCGTTTCCCGAATGATTTCCGGACCAGTGAGAGTACTGTCGGAAGCTTGCCCTCTAGCTAATTGGGTATCACCCACCTCAGCCCAGCACAGAGGGGATCTGCACTTTCGGCCGTAGAGAGCTTCAAATGGTGCTGCTTTTATGCTCGTGTGATAACTGTTGTTGTAGGAAAATTCGACGAGGGGTAAATGAGTATCCCACGCTTTTCCAAAGTCAATTACACAAGCACGCAACATATCTTCTAAAGTGGATTGTCCTCTCACTCTGTCCGTCAGTCTGTGGATGGTAGGCTGTGCTCATGTCCAGCCTTGTTCCTAGGGAATGTTGCAGTGATTGCCAGAATCTTGAGGTGAACCTACTATCTCGATCGGAGATAATGGATATAGGCACACCATGTAGTCGTACGATTTCCCTAATGTATGTTCTCGTAAGTTTCTCCATCTTGTCGGTTTCTTTGATAGGCAGGAAGTGTGCAGACTTGGTCAATCTATCAACGATGACCCATATGGTATCAAGTCCACCCGTTGTCTTGGGCAACTTGGTTATGAAATCCATAGTGATCCGCTCCCACTTCCATTCTGGAATCTCTGGTTGTTGCAGTAAACCAGAGGGCTTCTGGTACTCGACCTTACCTTTGCGCAAGTAAGGCATTTACTTACGAAGGTAGCAATCTCTGCTTTCATATTAGGCCACCAGTATAGCTTTTTAAGATCCAGATACATCTTATCTGAACCTGGGTGGACGGAATACCGAGTGTTGTGCGCCTCGGTCATGACTAAGTCTCGGAAACCACCGTGTTTCGGTGTCCAGATCCGATCCATGAAGTATAAGGCTCCGTCACCCTTGGCTTCTAAATTCTTGTCCATTCCTCTAAGGGATTCACTCGTCACATTTTCAGGTTTCATGGCTTCAAGTTGGGCCGCCTGAATTTGTTAGACAAGTGTGAATGGATGGTTATTGACAATGACTTGACTTTGCGACCAGAATATTCTTTCCGACTCAGGGCGTCTGCTACTACGTTGGCTTTACCCGGATGATAACGAATATCGCATTCGTAATCACTGAGTAGCTCGACCCACCGTCGTTGTCTCATGTTGAGCTCCTTCTGATCGAATATGTGTTGTAAACTCTTGTGGTCGGTAAAGATAGTGCTCTTCGTTCCATACAAGTAATGTCTCCAGATCTTCAGAGCAAACACCACTGCTCCCAGTTCAAGATCGTGTCGTATAGTTAACTTCGTGTGTCTTCAACTGTCTGGAGGCGTAGGCGATGACCTTACCTCGCTGCATCAGAACACACCCGAGCCCTTGGTTCGATGCATCGCAATAGACTACGAAGTCTTCTATCCCTTCGGGGAGAGATAGTATTGGCGGTGCACAAGGCTCGTTTGAGCGTTTGGAACGCTCTCTTGTTTCTCTTCCCAGTCAAAGGCCACGCCTTTCTGGGTCAGGGTTGTAAGAGGTTTCGCTATTCGGGAGAAGTTCTGAATGAATCTGCGGTAGTAGCCAGCAAGACCTAGAAATTGACGAATTTCTGTCGGCGTCTTGGGTGCTGACCAGTTCTCAATGGCTTTAATTTTGGATGGGTCCACGTGGATTCCCTCTTCGCTTACCACGTGTCCTAAGAATTCGACTCTTCGGATCCAAAATTCACATTTCGAGAACTTCGCATAAAGTTTCTCCGTTCGTAAAGTTCCTAAAACTAGTCGTAGGTGATCGCCATGCTCTTCCTTACTTCGGGAGTAGATCAGGATGTCGTCAATGAAAACGATGACGAACTGATCCAAGTAAGGTCGGCATACTCTGTTCATCAGGTCCATGAAAACTGCTGGCGCATTGGTCAATCCGAATGGCATCACCACGAACTCGTAGTGTCCGTAACGAGTTCGGAAGGCTGTCTTTGGAACATCCTCCTCTAGCACTCGTAACTGGTGATATCCGGATCTTAGATCAATTTTGGAAAATAGTTCGCCCCTTGCAGTTGGTCAAATAGATCGTCTATGCGAGGTAGAGGGTAACGATTTTTGACCGTCAGTTTGTTGAGTTCTCTGTAGTCGATACACATACGGAATGATCCGTCTTTCTTCTTAACGAACAAGACCGGTGCTCCCCAAGGTGAGAAGCTTGGTCTTATGAAGCCCTTGCTGAGTAGTTCGTTAAGTTGACCAGATAATTCCTGCATCTCTGCTGGTGCTAATCGGTAGGGCGACTTGGCTACTGGGGTAGCTCCTGGGACTAAGTCGATCTGAACTCGACCTGTCGTTGCGGAGGTAATCCAGGTAGTTCTTCTGGGAAAATGTCGGGAAAGTCGCTCACTACTGGAATGTTCTTGAGTTCTTTCGTTTCGAGGTTCGTGTCGACGACGTGAGCAAGGAATGCGTGGTATTCTTTGCGCAGATATTTCTGTGCTTGAATACTTGATATAATGCGAAGACTCGCACCAGGTTTGTCGCCGTAGACTATAAGAGTTTCGTTAGACGGAAGGTTTAGTCGGACTGCTTTCTCGAAGCACATGATGTCGGCGCGATGAAGACTCAACCAATCCATGCCGATGATAACGTCGAAGCTTTTTATTGAGACCGGCATGAGGTCGATTGGGAATGAATGGTTATCTAGGGTTAGGATACATCCTAAGTATATGCTACTGGTGTTTTCTGTTTTCCGTTAGCCATTTCTACTGTGAATTGTTCTTTAAGTGCGTGTGGTTGTGGTTTAAGCATGCGAGCAAATTTGTGGTTTACGAAGCTTCGCTCCGCTCCACTATCGAACAGAATGCATGCATAGGAGTTATCGAGGAGGAACGTACCAGTCACCACTGTCGGGTCAGCGACTGCTTCCCCGTGGCCTATAGCTAGTACCCTCCCTGCTCCTCCAGCATTTCTCGCTTTGGGGCAGTCCCTCTTATAGTGGCCTGTTTCGCCACATCCATAGCAAGTTGGGCTCGCGCCAGAGCCAGGGACTTGCGTGATCGGTTGCGCCGGGAATTTACAGAAACGGACGGTGTGTCCTTTCCTGTTGCAGTTAGAGCACTGCATTTCACGGCAGGGCCGTTGTGTGGAAGTTGCATTGTTGCACTTCGGCAAACTTCCAGCATACTGCTTCGTCGGAAGTAGCAGCAGGGTACTGCGGCATGTACTGCCACAATTTGCTGCTTCTTGGCACTCGCTGCCTCTTCTTTTGTCATCCCAGAACTTCCGCTTGGTGTCAGCGGGTTTGGATGGTTCTGAGATGGCTAGGGTTGTTGTGGTTGC